AGACCCTGCTTTTGTCTCTCAGAGGCACTGGGCATCTCTGATTCCAGAGAGCAGATTTCCTTGGCTTCCTTATGTCCCCACACTGTCCCATACCCCACTGAGAGGGTTGCAAGGCCCCCTTTTAATGACTTGGACAGTAACCATCATCCTTTTTCCTTACCACCCCCATTGGCTTCAGTGCAGCTCTTCCTGATTCACATCCCTGCCCATCACAGCCCTCTGTCCCTTACTACCATTATCACCTGAGCACCCATATAACAGCTCGTCCTGGCCAGGCACTGTAGCTGGGTTATAGGCATCTCAGGAGGGATTCTTTATAGAACATCACTTAACCCGATTTTATTTATTTTTAACAACATGCTTCATTCTGCCACCTCCATCCTTTCATTCTCTGACAAAAGTTAAATGTCAGGTCTAACACTAGCTGAATGCCCCTTTAAAAAGTTTGATTTCAATCTCGAGATATATCAGCAGTAAGAAAGCTTCCTGGTGTTAATTTTAAAGCACTGGTATTTCATGCTGACTTGGGAAATCATCCTTGGGTTTTGGCATCAGGCAGAGGATTTGGAAAGTGACATTAACAGATCTACTTTCTTTGAAGGACTAGGGAGTCATTTCTTGACTTCTGCCTAATGAATAAGTGCTGCCTTCGTTAAATTTATATTTATGGCCATATAGTAGGTCATTGGCTTGTTTTATGTCTCCAGGTTTATGGAAGGTTATCTTGCCATGGTCACCTTGTGGCATCTTGGCCAGAATCGTCTTGCAAAGAGACAATTGTATCTGAGCAGGATTTTTCCCGTGGAGATATGGAAATGATCAAATTAATATAGAGGTGATGTCCAGGGATAAAGCTCTTGCCCTGAGCTGCCAAATGAAGTTACTATTAGCATCTGTTTTCACAGTACACCTTTATTTGCCCTGGCAAGGCCAGATCCTCAGCTTCTGTGAAGCAGCAAAGCTACATTAACTTCAGCAGTGCTGATGTGATTGATAGTTGTCCTCTGGCCTCTCAGAAGCCTTTCTACTTCTTTCACTTCACCAGCTGATCCTCAGTGTGCACATTACATCATGTTTAATCTCTTAAATGTCTGTATGTTGGACATAAGATCACCATGACTCTGACCACAAGGAAAAGCTATTTCAAATGTTACCTATAGGCACATTTCACAGACAGTCACCAGTACATCCATGGTCTTTTGATCATGTTAAAACTAGAGACATCCTAGTTTTGGTCCAAAAACCCCTTTAAGGTTCTTTATGATATCCACGTCCCTCATTTAGTGTCTCCTGTATCCCTATAGATGTTACCAGCCCATACTCAGCTATTTACTTCTGGTCCACAGTGGTCTTACACCCTGGCACAGACAGCATGCAGAGGAGCTGGAGTCTGTTCGCAGCCCCACATGCCCATGTTCAAGTAATACTTGCAGTACAGAGAAGACTGGCCAGCTGGATGGGGCGGAAGAGTAGCTGACACAGGGTAACTCCTGCCTTAACAAAGCATGACCTGTGTGAAGGCCGCAGGAGTGCACACCCTATTAGATTCTGTGCATCATATGGAGGAATAAAGCCACCTTCCCTCATCATGTCCTTGTGTGGAGACACAGAAATGATTCATGTCTCCCCATCATGTTGAATTTTGGCATATGGTCTGCTCCATCCTACAGCCATACATAAACCCTGGGGCAGGTTGGCTCTGGACTGTGAGTCCCTCGTACATCTGAGCCCTCGCTGAACTTCTCATGGGTCATTAGTATGTAGCAGGGCTGTCATTTTGCTGAACACAGCATGGCCACAACTTCCTCAAACCTCTAATCTGCGTCTTGAGATTTCTGGATCAATACCAGCCGTTGGCTTCATCCACACTACAGCTGGGAGCACAGGCAGTTATGCCCTTCACTAGGTTTAATTCATCTGGCAGAGTGAGCAGCAGCATGAAGATATGCTCATGGCTGCCCAAGCTACCTTGGCTTCGTGCCGGGGTATCCAGCTGGCCCTGAAGTCTGTGTCCCTGCACCTTCACAGGCCATGTTGGTCAGCATGGACACATCCACTGTACTGAAACCACATCTTCGTTGGCTGAATAAACACACTCTTCAAGCTACGGAAGGCAAGTTCTTTCATGAGCAAAGGTCATCGCTTCTGTTTTTAAGAGCTGCCAATTCTTGCTGGTGGTGACTCACCACAACTGCTTTTCCCAAACAGCCAAGGTAGGGTATAAGACTACAAGTAAAACACAGAGCCCCAAGCCAGGGTTGGTGCCTCCCTGTGCTGTCTGTTCCTACAGCCCAGAGATGCTTTCTACTTGCTCCTTTTCAAACGCGTGCAGGAATGGTTGGGTCAGTGCTAGGGTCTTGTGGGCTAGACCAGCCACCTTGATATTCTTTACCTATGAGCAAGTGATTCCCAGCTTGAAGCAAAGCTGGCTAAAGCCAGGGAAGAGTCTTTCCAGTAGCATGCATGTGCTGTGAGCCAGGAGGAAATTTCCAGTATGATCTAAGGTAGAAGGCAGCTTCCTGAGAAAGAAACATCCAGTTAGATACTACTCTTGCTGACAAGTTGTTAAGATGCAGGAAAATAATGAAATCTAAAAGCTTTGTGAGGGAGAGGAAAAAGGCTGCATTCAAAGGCTTGTTGTCCTAGACCCTTTAAATAAAGCATTTGTCTAGTTTTAATATTTAATCTTAAAGGTGATTTTCAGTGTATATTTCCTAAGCAGAATGGCTTAGTTATGATGAGCAGAGTATGGCTCCAAAGGCAGCTGAGATATCCATAGATGGGGTAACGAGAGGAGCTCTGCAGTGAGCCCAGCAGCTCTGTTAAGGACGTAAACTCAGCTATGGCTGAAAGAAAGGACAGTTCCCATGTGTGCTCCACTAAGGTAGGAAATAAGGGAAAGGACCACAGCCTGACAGGTACTGCTCAGTGACGTCTCCCGTGCCAGCAAAGAGGCAGTCATTGCTAATTGTCAGCATATCAGACAGAGTATGCCTGATCCAGACACAGCTGGAGTGGAAAGAAATTATGTGAGTGTATCTCTCAAGCAGCAGAGACAGTTTCTTCTTCTAACTCTATAAACTATTGAGTTCAACCAAGGAAGGATAATTGCCTTTGGGGCAGACACAGTAGATCATCTCCTTTACTGAAGACTGAAAAACCATAGTTGTCTTAAAAAGATCTGCTCCCTTTACCTCATGCCCCCTCACCTTCCGCAGGAGATATCTTCTACCTGACAGGACTTGGTCATTTTGGTGGGTTCAAGATATTATGACCTATTCTCCCAAAAGGGTGCAAGAACTGATGTATCACTTAACATTTCATAGCCATTCAGTTTTCTTCTGGAGCAATATGCTCAACGTTTCATATTTAGAGGAAAACAGTTTTGGGCAGAGATTAAAAAGAACAGGACTTAGTTGTTTCAAGATGGTAGGAATAAGTGGACAAGGTTTTTACATTTTCCAAGCATTTCCTCCAGTTTCCTGGAGTATCTACTCTTTAAAGGTACAGCTTTGCACCTCCACTATGCCTTCCACTAATCTCCCACTAATCTCCCTAAGATTGCAATCCCACTTATTTCTTCCTGTGACTTCCCCATCCTCAAAGTCCTTATGAGTCAGTTATGCTCTAATGAACAGGAGCATCTGAGCCTTAGCCAGCTAATTGGGTTTTCCCCCTCAAAGTTTAATCTTCCCAAGATTCCTCATATTTTGGGAGGAAAGTGCAAGATCTTGCAAGCTTCCATCATGATCAATGGCAGTCTTTGAAATTAAGCTTCAAGTTGGCATTTACATCTGTAAGAAAATACTTCGTCCATGTTCCTTGGGTCCTGTAACACTCATGTGCCAGCCTCCCCTACATTTCTGCATATAGCCAGTGTCTCTCTTTGGATAGATCAATGCACCAGATTCCCTTCCAAGAAGGCTACATCTTTACATCCTCCAAGCCCTTGTCTCCAGCCACATGCCTGTGCTTGCAGGAAAGAAAAAGGTGGGATGAAGGGGGGAAAGTAGCAACTCCTAAAGGATCATCCTACAAGTAAGAAGCCGGAGAGAACACATAAATGTAGAACTGTGCAGCACCAATAAATACAAATTAAACTCATAACAAGAAGTGAAATATTAGGGCCAAGGTGACATTTGGACTGGAGGTTCAGCCAAGCTTTGCTTTAAATTTTTTATTGCTGCAGATAAAGAAAGAGCTTATACAACACGTTTCTCTCTTTCTCCCCCTATCAACCAGAGGGGAAAAGGAAAACAGAAATCTTAACTAGCTTTGGTTGTATTTGAGCTAGACTTCAAAGTTTCTCAAAAATAAACAGTTTTTAAGGGGGAGGAATGCACACTTGTAAAGAGAGAAAATGCACTTTGAAGCCAGCAAGGGACTGCATGCCTTATGCAGAGATTCACAGCATCCTCCCTGGAGCAGAAAAGTGGCATCCTCCTCCCCTCCAAGCAGCATTTCCTTTTTCATGGGGGGCTGCCTGGCAGCAACACAGTCCTTCGAAGGGATGTTGGGATGGCAGGAGCCACTGCTTTGTTCTCTTCTCCTTCCTCCTGCTATGCCCCTCTTGTTTTCTGCTCTGATTGAAAGTTCCATGTGACTGTAGCTGTCACTGAGATCTGAGTTTGCACAGCACCTAGCGCAGTGTCAGTCCTGGCTTAAGATGAGGGCTCTTTGGGGTTCATTACTGCCACGCCAAAAATCCACATGATCGGAGGTGGGCTCCATAATTTAAGCTTGGGAAAGAGGGGAGGGGTTTGTGTGTCCTCTGCTCCAAGTCTCACAGGGTGGTTGGTGGCTGGGGGACAGAGCCCTGTTGGATATCACGGGAAGGCTCTGTGCTCTCCTGTCTGTAGGATGAGTGACCTGCTCCCTTTCTGGGACCTTCAGCCCCTGGGTCTGTCTGTCTCACACTACGTACTGATGAGGGAGGGGAAAAGCAGAGTGTCTGTCATGTTTTAACCCTTTGATTCCTTCTCTGTCTTGTGTCTCCACAGCACAAAGCCCCACTGCAGCAGACCCCTTGCAGCAAGCCTACGCTGGAGTGCAGCAGTACGCAGGTCGTTAGTATTAACACTTTCTCTCAATAAACCTTTCTCTTTTGTAAAGCCTTTAATCTCTGAACACACCCAAGGGGACTGGGTGAGAGAGGTGTTTGGTGATATAGGGGCAAGCTGGTGGCCACAGACTCAGGTTAAATTCACACTTCTTGTGGAAACAAACATAAAGCCCATTGCCTTCTCTCCCGAAGGAGTCAACCTCTCCCCTTCCTTCAGGGAATGGCTTCCACTGGCCTGTATCTTGGTGCAGCTTCATTATCAGGACCAGGTCCAGTCTGCTTAGCACAGTGCACAAGTGCCAAGTCAGGCCACTGGTTTGGAGGCCACTTTCTGTAACAGATCTCCTGACTACTGCAACAAGGAGGTGAGATGGGCAGCCAGACCCTGCAGAGCCACTACTGCTATGCCTGGCAGGGTTTGGTATCTCTGCATACGACCGTGTTTCAGGGTACGTCTACACTGGCCATACCCCAGCTATGTAGTTTGAGGCTTGCTTAAGAGCTATGCAGACATACTTCTTGCTTCTCAGCAGCTTTCTCCGCAGCTCCCAGGTGAGCCTCCACTTGCATTGCCCTGTCTGCTGAGCAGCTCCTTTGCAGTTGATGGACTGACACCAGCCAAAGTGACCTGGTGCAGACCATGACCCCACTGTGTTCAGCCTCCCCTCACGAGGTGTCCATGGCCAGCGTTGCAAGGAAGCTGCCACCCCAAAGTCATTATTTCCTGTGGTAACTGGAGCAATCATGGTCTCCCGTTGAGGAATGGCTATTATCTCATGTCAGCACTGTATCTGGAAACTTAATTTAATTCTCCATGTAGGGCTTCATTTGCCAGTGTTTTAGTTATTGTCATTTATTGCTTGTGAGCTTTGATAGATGGGAAGCAGCTCAACCCTTTGAGCTGTTAATTAACCCCTCTGCACACACATGGCCTCTATCCCCCTCTCTCTGGGCTCACAGGCGACCCATACTCTGTATTTTTAGCAGCAAGGCACATCATCTACCATCTGTGGTAGTGAATGGCTCCCCTTGTCTGCTTGGTGGGGGAGCTGAGATGGGGAAAATTGTTTAATTGCTCCACACTGTTTCCACCGTGTTTGTGTTGGAGAGAGGAAGTCTCTATGGACGTGAAAGAAAATGTTGTCTGTCTGAGAGTGTATGTGCAACTGTGCCTATAAGGTGTGTGGGTATATGACGGTTAAAGTAAGAGAGGAAACACAAGGGTGAACTGTTTTTATGAACATATGAACTAACCAGGGCACAAGAGGCATTACAGAGGGAAAAGTGTGCATGCATTCTGCGTGGCTGTCAGCATGGGCATCGACACACTGAGCTCATGAATGAATGTGTTTGTGGAACCATCTGGGATGCTTACACAGCTCTACTGGGAAAGATCTCGGCAAAGACCCTCATTTACATGGTATGGTAGTCCCCAGTGTTGGATTGCTGGTGAAACTGAAGGGAGGGTGGGTGCTCAGGGCCATGTGGCACCTCCTGGAGCACAACCATAGTGCTTATGACACATCTCAGGTTGCCTTTCACAGAGACAAAATTCAGAAAGCCCACCTCTAGCTTGGTACGATGGTTTCAAAGCCATCATACGCTCCTTGAAATGAAAAATGAAAGCTTCTTACTTCCCAGCACTGAAATCTGTTTCCCTTTCTTCTCTCCCTTTCTCTCCCCTGTAGCTGCTTATCCTGCTGCTTATGGCCAGATTAGCCAAGCCTTCCCACAGCCACCTCCCATGATCCCACAGCAACAGAGAGAAGGTAAGTAAATGGGCTGTCCTCCTTTCTGGCCCCAACACATCATCCCCACCACGTTGTTTCTGCTTCTCATACACCTCGAGAGGCATCCATTAAACACCCAATTTCTTTGAATCCCTGGTCCACTGACTCTTTCCTCCTTTTCCATATGAGACACAGCATCATTGGCTCTAACAGCAGTATGCAGGAACATCCTCATGGGCAATTGCCGCTGAGATCTCCTGAGTCCCCCAGGAGGGGAGAGTGCTGATGTGCATGGGCCATGGAAAGACCTGCTAGCAGCATAGGCAGTAATGTCCAGTGGGGGTCTGTGTTCAAGAGAAGCAACAAGAATGTGGATAAAAAAGCAATTTCATTGGAATAAAGAATTTAATAGGGAACAAACCACTGGTGGCCTTTCATTAGAAGCCAGTAACGTGATTTCAGACACCTGCTATTTAGAGAACAAGGGCCTGCTATTTAGAGGAGCTGATCTGGTCCTTTCAGCATCCTTTGATAATCTGGAAACACCAATCAGCCCTTTTAGAGCAAAATCTCTGTATCAGGAGGAGGTGAATCATGTAGTGAAAGTACCCATTCCTTTACATTGACTATAAATGGAGCTGGGTTATCTAGGCCACAGGACTTGATGGCTTCACTGGAAACATGAAATGTAAGGAGAGGTCAATCTCCCATTACTGCATGTAAATACTCTGGAGGGCAACCATGCCATGTGATGTTCCCTTTACAGTCAGTGGGGAGCAGTGGAATCCTCAGAGGCAACCCACTCAGGTGGTCCCAAACATCCTCCTGAGAATCACTGCTCCCTTTGGACAAGAGGACCCTGCTTGCCTAAGTGAGGCGTTTAAGTCAGGTGCTTCAGCTTAGAGACCCTCATTTTAAATAATTACATTTCAACTTTTATCCTCTACTAGATCACTAATTCAGATATACTCTATGATACACGTGTTATTATATATATATAATGACATCTAATATTTAAATGTAGTGTAATAGAATGAAATGAATCAGGATTACACTATCAAACTAAAATATTCTAGTGGGCTAGAACTACTTTGGGGGAGAAATCTCATTTTGTAAGAAAATTAGAAATGTCAGCATTTCGATCTAATTTGGAATTAATTTTTTTCCAATGTCAGAATTTCCTGGGGAACACAACTTCCAGCTCCTGATTAGCTCTAGTACATGTCCCTGCTGTGAGAACAGATGCACAGACCTAACGTATCATTACAGAGATGTTTCCCCCATGCTGAAGGACTTTGCTTTTTATTACTTACTGGGGTTAGATTAAGCACAGGACAAAATGGCGAGCAGATCATTGCTCAGCATAGCATTGCACCAGGAACCGTCAGAAGCAAGGGAGTGCTGTGAACACTTTGAAGACCCACTTCCCAAAGCTCCCTGTGTTCCAATGCATGGTGTGTTGCTGTGGGTTGACAGTGAGTGTCACCCAGTGGACAAGCTGTCTCATAACTCCTCACTTCTTCAACTAAGCAGTTGGTACCGGGCATATTTGAGGACCAGACACACGAAATGAACCATCAGTCTAATGCAGGTTGCCATTCCCAGTGTCCTCCATTTTCCTGCAGTGTTGAGATGTTGTGGCTTTCTCTGCTGATTGCTCGAGGGAGAATCTCCAAGGCAGGACACTCGCTTTTAGCAGAGGGCCAAGATTTTTAAGCATCTCTAACCCTTAACGGGAAAACACAGCAAGAGGGAACTCTAATAATAATAACGCTCAGTGCTGAGAAGAGTACTTTATGTTTGCAAGGATGTGCACAAACATTGATTCGGTAATGAACCAGCCCTACCACAACAATAACATCAATGATCACATTGTTAATAACAATGCTAATTCTCCTCTCCCAGATCCCAGTTGGATAACAAGCCCAGAGCCACTTGGCTGCTGCAACATTTCTATAGAGATTAGTCATTACTTCCATATAAGCGCCAAAGCTGCCAGCAGCTGACAGGGCACATACGGTGGAACAGATTCAAAACGATCAAAGCTATAGAGATGAAGTCTTGATTCAGGCCATGTCAACCAGGAAAAACTTGGGGCTAATTCTAAATTTGAATGGTATTATTCATCTTGACATAGCTTCTGAAACTATAAGTACACATAGATATTAAAGTGTTGCAGGCTTTTGTCTCCCATCTGCGCTATGCTCAAACATGCTGGGACTGAATAGCAGGCAGATGCAGAAGAGTGAAATTCCAGCCTCTGAGTATTTACTGTAGAGGTGAGGTGTCCAACTGACCAAAGGTCTACAAACTAACTTCAGGCAACCTTATGGGACAGCCCATTTTGAACTACTGTTGGAAGACCAGTCTGGTCATAACCTTTCCTTATGACACTGATTCTTGGTGTTGAGGATGCAATGATTGATAGACAGCTGATGTCAGCATAGGTATATGGAATTTACTCATGTTGACAGGGGACATGCAGGGATAGATTGGGTTTGCAGCTATCCCCCATATACTCCTCTCAAAAAATGAACTGGAAGGTGAGGAGCATGGGCAGAGCAATGGCTTAGCAGCTGAGCTCCAACCAAGCAGAGTCAGCATGGTCCCACCACAGAGTTCTCTACCATGCGCTTCTGTGCTCTCAATCACAGATTTTTTCATTACCCAGCATGGTCCGCCTGTAATTTACAGACTATGCATAAACTGTGTATTCTTTAAAACTTTTCTTTCGTTTTTGTCTGAATCAAGGTTATCTACGCTTCTTGTGTATTAATGAACAGCAATATCTATAACTTAAAGCTATAAAACCAAGAACTATCGTAAGTGTCAAGGTAGAAATGAACTTTGATACTCTTCTCATGATGTGTCATGAGGGTTAGATTTAGACCTGACTTACAGCCCTTTTGAAAACCAAAGTAAAGTATGAGGTAAGTAATCTTAGTACTGCATTCAGCCCTGAACTGCCAAGTATCCCGATCTCTGATAAGCATAGAAGCACAGAATCATAGAATGGTCTTGGTTGGAAGGGACTTTAAAGATCATCCAGTTCCAATCCCCTGCCACAGGCAGGGACACCTTTCACTAGACCAAGTTGCTCAAAGCCCTATTCAACCTGGCCTTGAACTCAGTCCAAAACAGGACCTTTCTGTCTAGCAAGATAGTAGGAGTCTTTCACTAAGGTTTTGCCACATCAGCTATTATCTTCTTCTTGCTTCAGTGATCCTAACAGAGTCCATTAAAACTCATTGCATGTGTACGCTTAGAACTAAGTTAGTTCTTCATAGCATTCTGAGATGAACAACTCATGCCTTTGAATTCTTAAAACTATACATGAATATATGAGGAGTTTGTCATACACATAAACATACAGTCTTCCACAGAGTGCCCAGATTAACTTGACTCAGGCAAAAAAAAACCAAAAAATCCACAAAGTAGAAGAGCTGAGGCAGACAGATCTTGTTTTGTGCATTCTTTATCAAGGAGTCTAACTGCGATAGGTAAGTTATGGATGAATAGATTTAACAAGAAATTGCCTGTTAAATTCTAATGGCAGAATTTTCATATGTGAGGATGGTAAAACAAATCAAACTACCTCATGTTGTTTCTCAGTAGCAGGTGGAGTTTTCAGCATTGGAAATTAATGAAAGCCCTCTGTAGCTGGGAACAGAGCGAGTTTGGCCTTGAATGTCTGAGTTGGTATGGGAAGCAGCAGTATGGGTTTCCCAGCCACATTTCAGAGCCGAACTGGGCTTTGAGGATGGTCTCTGCTTTTTCACATCTTCCTTGGTCTCTTTCTCTTCGTCTCTGAGGAGTGTGAGGTAAGGCTGATCTCAAGGTGAACTAATGGTTGTTCTCTCCTTGAGCCCAACCTTTAAACCTGGTGTAAATGAAGTTGTGTGACTCCTGGTCTGCCTTATGCCTTAGTAGGTGGTTCTCAGCACAAGCAGGCAGAATCCCTACTCATGCACAACACATCCAAGACCCCAGGAAATGCAGCTGGTATTTTTGAAAGAATTTGCCAGTTTTACAGAGCAAACTGCTGGCTCTGGTGATGTCGGTGGGAATTTTGCCACTAATTGCAACAAAGCCAAGATTTTACCCATTCTATTATAATGTGCATCTCAAATCCCACAAGAGAAGTGCTCTGGGGCATATTCAGATGAAGGAATGAATTTTTCCCTGCTATTCTGGCCTGTGGTCTTCTCCTGGGCAGAATTTTCTCAATTCTATCAGACACCTAAGAGGGTCGGTGTTTGTTTAACACTTTCAGACTGTTTCAGATCTAGTTTACCATGCCAATAACTCCACAATTCGTGGAAATAAACTGCAGCAAGGACTGGAGAAGGGATAGTTGCTCTGTGAGGAGGCTAAGGAAGAGGCAGACACGAGGAGGAGGATGGTAAAGCTTGGCATGAAATAGGGGAGCCTGACTGTGGGTGACTGAGGTTCAAAAGTAATTTAGCTAAGCAGATGACCGGGTGCCTAATTAGTTAATTATTCCACTATCCCCCCCATTTGGAAGAAACCCTGTTACCATCCTCATGACCTCTAGGAAATGCACAAGATGCAAAGGATCAGCTGTTCCTTCATGACAGTCCTTTTAGCAAATTAGTGGGGAAAATTGTGCTTAGCAAATATTCATTAGGGCTTCATTTTCCATTAATCCAAAAGGAAATGTGGAGAGCCTGTGACTTCAATCACGCTGAGGCCCAGGAATTTTAATGAGGTTTAAATGGGCATCTGCCAGAGTCCTGACTTCGCTGTACTTCTCCTGCCAGCCGGGGGGATGAATAATGGCTAATAAAAGGTGGGAGCATCTAAGCGAACTCCTCTCCCTAACAGGAAAGGCAAAGTTGTAATTTGCTGTGTTATGACACCATAATTGTGCCCTGATGAAGAAAACTACAGTATTAAAACACCCTTTCCTTCCCCACACTGTGTCCCAGATGTAAATGGGGGAAAGCTGGTTGAGTCAGGTCACAGGGTTATAGGCACATGGGTTGGGCGAAGAAGGAAACACTCCTTCCCTCTGTCCTCTTACCCTTGCATCAAGGATCACAAACTGTATCCTCTTCATCTTCAACCCCCTGAGCAAAGCAGAGCTGGAGTTACCTGTTGAGGCTAGTGCAGAGCTGGGTGGCAGCTGGAAGTACCATTGAAAGTAAGACCATGAAAAAAACAATCTTTGACTCCTCAAACTATACAGTTTTTTCTGATGGACTCTGCAATGGCTTTAGATGTTTATTTTTGTCAACAAAACCACTTGTACATTCCCATTCCCTTTTGACTTTTCCTCAAGTACAACACGCTTCAAAATCAAAATCCCAGTGAAAAGCTTTATTCTTGGTTATTTGATCAGAGGCAGATTTTCCCTTTTCTGCCCTAAAACACAATTTCCACCAAATATTTTCTGAAAATCTGTACTTTAACATAACTGCATATTCCAGCTAAAAATTCCTCTCAGGGTATTTTCCCACACAGTCTCTGAAGTCTGTAAGAGTATATGTTACAGCATTGAGGCAAAAAAGGCAACTCCTCTTGTCCAGTAATTCAGATTTGTAATGTCTCTTTGAGACCCTTTAGAATGGGGGACATGCTCAAACTGTGCAGATTTGGGGAGTTTTCAGGCTGGGTCGAGCTGGGGGGTTGAACGTAAAATTCTATGGAACAAAATAAGCCTTTGGGTTTTTGCATATCTTTCTACTTGTTAACACAGTCCTTACACAGATACAAGAAGGATAATGAAACTTCTGCATGTGAGAAGAAGGAAAGGCTATTGTGTGTCACCCAAAACTCTACAGATTAAATGAGATTGTGAGGAGCAAAATAAAACTATGAATGGTATTCTTTCATTCTTTTAGTTACTCCTTCTTCCGTCTTTCCATGGCCACATGTGCTGCTGCATTCCTCTGTCTCTGGGTTTTATCCTGGTGTCTGTTCTGGGAAGGCTAATGAAGTTAGCATAGCCTCTGGGTGACTTTCGGAGCTGCTGGTCTTCTGTTTTGTCCATTCCTCTGGGAGTCTATACACTGATTCCTAGAGGTGACCCCTCATCTGTCAGAGAGAGGGGATGACAACATAAATCACCATGTAATTTCTCATATCCTATTTCTCTCCATTCATGAGTCTTCTTTTCCTCTTGATAGGACCAGAGGGCTGTAACCTGTTTATCTACCATCTGCCCCAGGAGTTTGGGGATGCTGAGCTGATGCAGATGTTCCTGCCTTTCGGTAATGTCATCTCCTCGAAAGTGTTTGTGGATCGGGCGACAAACCAAAGTAAATGCTTTGGTGGGTAAAGATAACAAAACAATTAGATTCATCCAGGAAGGGGCTTTCTCTGAATACTTTACCTTTCAAACTGCTTTCTTTCTGCTTAAGCTTTATGATTTCTCTCAAATTACTCCTGTCAATACTTTCCCCCTTCCCTCTTTCTCTCCTAATTGTCTCATGCTCAGAGTTGTATGCAAGTGAAGGACTGGCATCTCACCAGGAGCAAGCTGCTGAGGCTGCTGGTGATGGGGTGGGAAATGTACTCCCCTTGGAAGGGGAGGTGGGGAGGGTACAGAAAAGACTAAAGTGTCTGGAGCAAAGTGGAGGGGACTGGAGGGTGAAGTGCTGACAGGGTCAGCAGTGGGAGCATGTGGCAGAAGAGGAATTTCTGTACCTAAACAAAATGAAAAACAGGCCATGGGATTTAAGGGAAGACAGAGATGTGAGGGCAGCTATCCAGCACCTGTGATGCATTAGACTGCAAGGGGACAATGGCTGAACATCAGCTGAAAACCTAGTCTTCTTGGGGGATGGCTGCTTGGTGGATTGCAGGTAGCCTACTGGACCCCAGACAGCACCACAGCAGATACAGGTAGACTGACCTAACCCTGTGCCTCAGCTGATTGATAGACCATGTTAAGAGGCTGAGTGTGAAAGCTGAACCATGCTCACACAACTCTGGCCCTGCTGCTGGCTCAACTCTGCCAGCTGGAGCTTGGAAAGAGCATAGCCTCAGCTGCCTGTAAGCCACCAGCTAGGGACACCCTGAGATACACCCGCAATGGGAGGCATCAGCCAGCCAGCAGACATGTGGTGTTGTGTCCATGGTGTCTCAGTAGGATCCTGCTGTCTGTGAAGGTGTTCCTGCAAAGGGTCCCCTCTGGCAGTGCAGCAGCATGGGGACCCTGTTGCACTGGATCCCATCCCACCTGGTGGGCAGGGGATCTCCCTCATCAATGTGCCTTCCACTGGGATGTGCAATTCCTGGTTCTCCACCATCTCGTTGCAGACCTTCCCTGAAAAATGCAGCCAGACACACTATTGCTTTTCTTTTCGTGTTACTTGCAGCTAATCTGGACTCTGTCTCTCAGGCAAACTTCCAGAGTTCAGACCCATTGGAGTTTCATCTGATTTTAAAGCCACTCTCAGTCTCCACACTATGCTTCCCTTCCATGCTGCCATCCCCTTTCCCCTCCTGGACAGCTCACCCCCCAAAATTTGTACCTCATCCCTTGCTAGCTATGGTGCATGTCAGACAGTACTTAAAAGTGTTTCATGCCCCTTCACCATCCACAGTTCCTCCTGCCCATCCATAGAGTGTCTGGGCAGGCTATTTTTCCCTTTGTTTGAAAGAGCTCTGTTACCTAGTGTGAGGGGACACAGCGTTCTCCTTAGCCAGTAGTCATCGGGTTGCTGCCCTCTCATGTACTAGATGAATGAAGGACAAAGAGTTTGGTTCTGTGAAGATGCAGTTGGGAAATTCAGGTGAGATATTATGAGTTAGCCACATTCTCTCCAGCACCTACCTGCTTCTTAGAGATGTAACCATGTAAAACCTCATAACAAGATGAGCAGACAAGCACAGCTCTAGGTGGCTGAAAGCTGATAGTTCAAGGATAACCACTAGTTGGACCTTTGTCAATGAGATGCCATTCCTATCGTAAATGTTTAAGGCACTACTGGACCTGGTTCTCCACATATTGACAAGTGGGAAGACCAAAGGTAAACAGAGAAATGAGCTGGAAGCCAAGTCGAGTAAGGGATAGTATCTTCTGGACAAGTATTCACCTTATCTCCTCTTAGCTCAAAGGCTTTCAGGCTACAGGGATTCACAAGGATAGCACTGACGGATCTTAGCTGAGATTTCTCTTAACAGTGAGTCTTACTGGGAGAAACTAACCAGCTTGCTTGACAAAGTAAACTCCAAAACTAATGGTGAGATATTCCAGCCTGAAAGTAGAAGGTGCTCTTTGGATGTGTTGATTTAACTGCATAGGCATGCAAAAGCAGGAATTAGAGATTGCTAATGGATCTCAGTCACCCTGTGTTAGCTTTAGACACACAAATATCCAAGTCCAGTCAGTTTCGGGTCCCAGGGTTCAAGACCCAGTTCCCTCTGGCTTTAGCTTACTTTCCAATAGTGCCTGCTGTGGGCAGGCTACAAACATGTTGACAATGCTGCCATGTGCACCACCTCCAGAAGGATGGAAATAGCAGAAGTACAGGTAGCATGTCACGCTGCTCTTCAAACCCTTGTACCCAGCTCACCCTCAACTTTAAAGCAATGTAAAAATGTAGAGTATATTACAGAAAATCAGGCCTTTGATTTGTTTTGCTAAGTCCATTGAAAATACCAATGATTCTAATTTTTTGTTCAGAAAGTCGATTATAAAAAGTAAAATTACCTTTTCCTAAAGGAAATACGGGACCTTATTAACTTTGAAAGTAAGAAAACTCTTTCCTTTTCTGCTTAAACATTTCCCCAATCTCAACATGTAAAAACATAGCATTTGCATTCTGTTTCACTTTTTTTTTAACCCAGCTAGAGCTCTCCAAATGGTAGCCTGGGGGGACAATTCTGTCTGGCCCCAGAAAGATATTCCACCATTATATGACCTTTTAAAATGTATCTGCTATGCAGATCCCAAGTAAATTGCCATAACAGAATCTAGCCCCAGGTTGTTGAGAAATTGTCAAGAAGTCCTGCTTTAGACAAACTTCAAAAATGCTATGGAGAAAAATGTCACCGTGGTTTTTTCCACGGGAACAGAAAGTATTTCATTTGCTAATCTTGTCTCACTGTTGAACTGCTGTAAGCAGCTGGTCCAAATGGAGTGAGTCAGTACAACAGCATCTCAAAAAAAGACTTTGGTTCTGAATTCTCCCCTGCATCTCCAGCTCAGAATTGTCTCCTTTGGCTACTACTGTCAGCCACAAGTCTTTGTCCTGGTTTCTGAAGTCCATACTCCTGCAGAGAACAACTAGCACCTGCATGTGCTGAAGAAACCAGGCTATGGTCATGAAGCTTTTGACTTTCCCAATTCAGAGGCTGCTGCCTCCTGGCTCATAAGGAGCAGCAAGGAATGCAAGCTACAGCAAACACCAATCTCATGTATAAAATATGAAAGTGCTCAAAATATGTCTATTGTTTTCCACAGTAGGACAGCTTGCTGTAGTAAGACTGGCTCAGAAACAACCCTGACTTCTCACAGAAAAAATTCATTTAATTTGGGAGGCTTCTTTGCCTTCAACGTTCCTTCTGCTGGTTTGCCTTCAACTTTTCTTCTTTTAGGTCTAGCCTGGATGTGTGCACACATCCAGGCTAGACCTGAATCCTTCATTTTCTTTTACAATATTTAAACCTCTGGCTTTTATTTCCTTCCCTATCCTGACACACCTGTAACATGTCCAAGACCAGAGTGGTCTTCCCACTCACCAGCACCCTATCTCCATGGCCTGTGCTTCCATCACACCAACCATATCGGCATGTCCTTGCCTTTCTCCTCAGGCACTGCCTTGTCCACCCTCTCATATTCAGACTCAATAATTTCACCTTCACAGCTATTCACTGTTCTGCCTTTCTCTCTCCTCTCTCACAAGGCCTTTACCCAATGACCAGCTGATACCTGTAACCTCTATCCCAGCTGAAACCAGGGCAAGCCAGCATGTTTCTCCCACTGGAAGATGCTGTCCATTCCAGTGAAATGGCAGGGCCGCAGCAAGGAATCACTGTCTCACTCAGGGAAAAATCACACATAAACACTCCTTGAAGACTGTGACTCTCATTCTCACAGGAGACTGGTTTAGGAAGTCTTGCACGCAGGCTTAGTGTTCCACAACCTGAACACCAACTTCTGCAGGACTCTGGAGCTTGTCTCTGTGCAAGGCAGAGACTGCACTGGGTCTCTCATTTTCCCACTGCATGTGTGTAAGTTCTTCTGTGTGTAGGTATGCTAAATATCAGAGGATGTGAAATATAAGTATGTGCTGGTCTCAATGGTTCTGATGATAATTCCCTTCCCAGCTGTGCAAATAATTTAAATGTGACCCATTTGTGTACAGGGCAAAAAAACCCAAACAAAAAGGAACACAAAATTCCAGTAAAATGACACTGTTAAGGCTGCTAAAGCAAGTAGTCAATGTGACAGGAATGATCTTCACACCGCCCAATCATGGCTAACTCTACCTGTGTTAGGGTGATGCTACAATACAGTCCTAATTTCAGGAGCACTCCCTGTTATCACACAAGACACGTTTTAAAAAGATATTTGAAGACATTAAGCTAGTGAAATACAGAGACAGATTTGTTCTAGGAAAATGTTTTAACAGAGAAGAGAGAGAAAAGCATAGGTGTGGGCAATATTAATTAGGAAGACATGACAGAAATTAGAAAAACAAGGATGTGGATGGAGCAGCAGAGGCCAAATAGTTACCCCAAGGTGTCAGATAGTGTGTAGATAAATTAAAGTTAGTGGAATTGCTTTACTAGTGCACTTGGAAATTCATTCCTCCAGTCACCCCTTTCTGAGAGCAGTGAGCACATGGGTCTGCTGGCTCCTTGCACGCCATGGAGCAGCAGACACTGTCAGGACAGTTCTGCTCCATGCCCCTACTTTATCCCCACATGAGTCTCCTTGGCATGTGCCTGTTCCTAATACCCACTGGTGTGGCAGCTTCAGCTTGTCCCCATGGGGAGGCTGTGAAGAACCTCTCTTATGCCCACAGAGACACCACCACAGAGCTGGTTTCCCTCTACTCAGCTCAACATGGTCTGACAGCCCAGGTGTGAGCAACCACAACTGTTGTATGTTCTCCTTTTCTATGCATTCCAGATGGACTTTCACACTGCAGAAGGATGACCAACCCTTTTTTAAATGTCCCACATTAAAAGTAACACAGAGTATTCTAGCTTTGACTACACACTGTGGGGGTTTCTTAGGACAATATATTGATGAGGC